TAAATTGTTAAAATCATGACGAAGCGACGTTATCAGCAGGGCTAGCTATTTCTAATTTCTACTAGCCCTGTTCATGGTGTCCAGCAGCCGAAGGCTGGTGTTGCTGGTGGGGGTACGGGGGGCCTCCCCCGGGGAAATTTTGAAAATAGAGATGCCAAATCCTGCATTCTGGTTGTATTTTGGGTAAAAATTATATGTCACTCTATGATTGTACCTTAGAAATTTCTCTATTCTGAAACTTATGTGGAAGCATCCTTGGGTAGTGTAGATATAAAATTGTTAAAATCATGACCCCCGGGGGTGGGGCGGGGCCACAAAAGGGAATCCAAGTTTTAGATAGAAATATATAGATCAAATCTTTAAAAATCTTCTTTTCAAGAACTACTGGGCCAGGAAAGCTGAAACTTATACGGAAGCATCCTTTGGTAGTGTCGATATTAAATTGTTAAAATTATGACCCCCGGGGGCAGGGCGGGGCCACAATAGAAAATCCAAGTTTTACATAGAAATATATAGAACAAATCTTTAAAAATCTTCATCTCAAGAACCACTTGGCCAGGAAAGCTGAAACTGGGGTAGTGTAGATTTGTAAAGTTTTAAAATCATAAAAAGGAAAGGGGGTAGTGGGGCATGATAGGTATAGCAAGAGGGAGAATCTGGTAAAGAACTGCATCACCCAAGTTACTCAGGGAAAGGGGGTGAGCATGATAGGTATAGCAAGAGGGAGAATCTGGTAAAGAACTGCATCACCCAAGTTACTCAGGTGAGCGATGTGGCCCATGGGCCTCTTGTTGGATTTTGTGTCCTGGTTATCGCAAAATGCAATAATCTTTTATGATTTTAGCATTTTGGGTTATTACATGTACGCGTCGAAATACAGGTATATTATAAAAATATTGCACGCAGTTGAGTGTAACATTGAAAATTTCACCCAAAGAAAAAGAAAAAGTGGTTTTTCGAAGGGTGAAAATTTTCAATGTTACACTCAACTACATGCAAACTACATACAGAATCATCAGCGCACGCTTTTTCTCACGCATTACTAAGCTGATAATTATACAGCCCAACAAACGAAGCAGATTAAGCGGATAAGGACACCTTCTATGAACAGCTACAAAGAGAAATTGCAAAAGTGCCAAAACATGACATACTGATGGTAATGGGGGATGCAAATGCAAAAGTTGGAAAGTAAAATGAAGGATGGGAAAGAGTCATGGGACAAGAGGGCATTGGGACTATGACTGGAAACGGCATGAGGTTAGCCGAAATGTGTGCTCTTGATAACTAAATTATCTGCGGAACCCTCTTTAAGCACCTTGACATACACGAGCTTACATGGGAGCCACCTAATGGAAGAGATAGGAACCAAATTGACCATGTCATGGTGAATGGCAGATACAGGAAGTCTGTATGTGATGTAAAGGTTATGCGTGGTGCAGATGCCAACTCAGAGCACCATATAGTACATGTACTGGCTAAAGTAAAGATGAAGCTCTGCAGAAACTTAAAGCCAAAGGAAAGCAACAGGAAGATGTATGATGTCAACAAGCTGAGAGATCCAAGAATAAGCAAGGGATTCCAAATTGAATTAAGAAATAGGTTTCAGCAACTGGCTGATGACCAAAAAACAATCAATGAAAAATGGACTCTAGTGAAAGAAGTATATAATGAAACAGCAAAAAAGATCCTAGGCCAGAAGAAAAGGAAACACAAAGACTGGCTTGATGCAGAAACATACAAAGCCATAGATGAAAGAAAACTAAAGGAAGAAATAGGAAGATCAAATTCGGAGAGAATAAAGAAAATTAAGAGAGAAGAATATAAGACAAAAAAAGAAGTGAAAAGAAGAGCAAGAGCTGGTAAAAGGACAAATCTGGAAGATATTGCTAACCAAGAGAGTGCAACAAATACAAACCGTCTGAGCAAAGTTTACCAACTGACGAAGCAGAATTGTGGGGGGAAAAGAAACAGGACAAGTAGCATAAGGTCCAAGAATGGTGAACTAATAATTGAAGATGGAAAAATATTGGATGGATGGAAAGAGCATTTTGAAGAGGTCCTTACTGTCCCAACAGAAAGAATAGAATTACCCGAAGGATGCACCATCCAAGAGAAAAGATGATGAAATTGACATAACACCAATCAGAGAGGAGGAGGTTAAAAAGTCAATCCAAACCATGAAGAATGGAAAGAGTCCTGGCATAGATAACATCAATGCTGAGCTACTAAAGGAGAGCGAGTATTATATTCAACATCAGAGCTTGTAAATTTATTCAACAGAATCATCAGTGAGCAGGAAATACTAACAGACTGGAAGAGATCGTTCATTGTCAAAATACCTAAAAAAGGAGATCTGACAATATGTGACAACTATAGAGGAATATCACTACTATCAGTGCCATCTAAAGTATTTTGCAGAATAGTGATTGACAGAATAAGAGATGGACTAGATGACAGATTAAGCCAGAGCAAGCTGTATATCGTAGAGGAAGAGGAACATCAGAACAGATTTACATTCTAAGAAATATTTTAGAACAATTTACATGTATAGAGTGGCAAGCACCACTTTACAATAGTTTCATAGACTTTTAAAAATCCTTTGACAGCATAATAAGAGGGAAACTGAGGGACATACTTAGGCAGTATGGAATTCCGGGTGTATATGTGGACATCATCAAGAAATTATACGATAGGAGTTCTAGTGGTCTCATGGAAAATGGACGAACAACAAACTGGTTCAAAGTAGAGACAGGAGTGAGACAAGGTTGTGTTATTTCTGGGTTCCTGTTCATCATTGTGGTAGACTGGATAGTGAGAACTACCAACAATAAGATACGTTGTCCACTTTAGAAGACCTGGATTATGCAGACGATCTTGCACTTATTTCCAGCAAACACAGCGAAATGCAGGAAAAGACCAGGAGATTGATTACATGATGTTGCGGAATATACAGGCCTAAAAATTAATGTTAACAAACAAAAAGCATGAGAATAAATGGGAAGAAGAAGGATGCCATCAGGTTAAATGATAATGAAATACAAGAGGTCGAAACATTTCTCTACCTGGGTGCCACAATGGACAAGACCGGAGGAACTGAGGCAGATACAGTATCGGGAGAAGGCTTGCATAAAACAGCACAAAGACCAAACTTAAGATCTTCAACACATATGTTCAGCAACAGAAAAAGACGACGAAAAGTTTGATACGTTTCATCGAAAATGCCTTAGGAGGATCCTAAAAATACACTGGCCTGAAAGAACAATAATCAGCAACTGTATGAAAGAACAAGATCCATACCTCTATCAGGGACCATCAAAAGAAAGAGATGGAGATGGATATAGGCCACATCCTCCGAAGAGAAGAGAACTCGCATTTTAAAACAGCTCTTACATGGGCCCCTGAGGAAAAGAGATGAGGATGACGGCAAAGAACACCTGGCGACGCTCTGTTGACAGAGAAAGATAAGAACTGGGATGGAACAGCTGGAAGGAGATTCAGATTCAATTTAACCAATAAAGTATAATATTAAAACATGTTCGATACCATTGTTGACTGATTTAAATATTTCCCTACGTTTCATAAATTTGTCAAGAATATACATTTTTTTTTAAGTATACAAATTCACATTCTGTGTTCTCAATGAGGTGTCAAAATCCACGCATTTGAAAATAAGATTGATTGGTTGTATATTATTTTACGTCCCCCTCGAGAATTTTTCATTCATATAGAGACGTCACCAGATACCGACCGGTAAATCGCTTCAAAGTTAGACCTTTACTACGGCCAGGAACACAACTAGTTCCTAGACAGTATCGTTGTTAGAAACCTTTCAAGTTAAGTATTGAAAATGGTTCGTTGTCATAAACATACAGGCGAGGTTATGATAAAATCCGTCCGATGTCATCACTTAAAAAGACAATCCATGAATAGTTTTTCAAGTTAAATTATTTATAACAATGTCTAAAATTGCAATGGGAAAACACGACTGTATGTATGTTCATGACAAAAAACCAGTTTTATTTCACTACTTTAAAGGTTTCTGACAACGGTACTGTCTAGGAACTTAACGTGTTCCTGACCGTAATTTAGGACCATTGAGCAGTGAGGGAGCTTTACCTTTCCAACGCCCGTTGTGGGGCCTCGGTATTTAAGGTTTCGTCCAAACCCTCGACTTTTACTTCAGAGTGTCGATCCTTGGAGAGGGAACAGTTGCTACATTCGGTCAGTCGCGGCTGGGGATGTAGACAGAATTCTCTATCGTTAAAATGATAATTGTCCTAAGGAACCGGTGAGGGCTTGTACCGAGATACAGTTGGATTTTTATTACTACTGGGAATCAAACCCACGACCTTCCGATCACGTTCAGCGAGCGCTCTACCGAATGAACTACAGCGGTGAATCCGGAGGGGACTACGCATGTAGGTGTCCTCTTCTCCTGTCCGTCCGTCAATTTGTCTGTTCGTCTGTCTGTTAGTCTGTCCCACTTGGTTATCTTCTATGATTAATTGACGGAATAAAGTTTTCATTTTTTTATGGATACTAGATTACACTTGGCTAGGGGACTTGCATTGCTAATGCAATTTGCGTTATTTACATGTAATTATCCAAAAAGAATGCATGTATATTTTGCAGATTAGAGAAAGAACAGTTAATAAAAACAGTTAATAATTTCTTTGTATAAAACTAGGGAAATGGCTACAAACGTATTTATCTTGCATTATTATTATTATTAAAATAAATTCGATGAAATACAGTATATACTTTACTAAGCTATTTGCTTTTACTGATAAAATGAAGTAGGAAAGTAATATAAATCAAAGAACTTGGGAACCATTTACAAATATATAATATTACCTCACTATACTGCCAAAGGTTTTACACTAATGCACCTCATTGGTATATTTTTTCATAAACATGCGATTATAAATGATCTTTTATTATCTGTTTATAATACAGAAAACCGGGATTACGTCAAAATATCATTTGTCACGTCCTTTGATGGAGACTTAAATACCTGTTTAAGATCCAATTTATCTTAATAAATCTGTAGAATTTCAAAACTTACTGCTCGGGACAACCAACGATCGAGGACAGTTAGTGATTTTACTTTTTTTTTCTTCTTCGTTGTGGATTAATTTCTTGTGGTTCGGATGGTTGTAAGCGTTTGCGTTCGATTAAGCAAATAATCAAAGAGGGGAATGTATACTATTCCGCACAAAAGAAGGTGGAATGTTTAATGCTTTTAGGCAAAGGACCAGGCGTGAAAAGGGCCTAATTAGACCATTCTATTACATGCTAAAATAATCGCTCTGTGGAGCAGGAAGCACTTTGTGAATTGTCATTTCAATATCAGTGAAGAGATTGATTACTAACAAAATCCACAACACAGCTGTTTGATATCTTCATCTCGGAAACTCGAGGGAAGGAAGTTATAAACACTTGTGCCATGTACTCAAATATTTTTTTTATCTTTCTTCCTCGAGTTTAAGCCGATTTTACGTTCAGTCGTTGATCGGGAGTTTCAAATATTTGTATCTCGCTGCGCATTCTAACCAGTGGTCATCAGCAGTTCTCCAGAGCAAGCGCATCAGCTGTTTCAGTGCGCCACTCTCGCTATATGAAGCACGGTCATTTATCGAATGGGGAATTGTAATGTTGACTGATGAATCGATACATGAATTGTTTACCTACATTTAAGGTGACGAGCTGTGGATTAGTTTTGATGGAAGTTTGTTACAATGCACATGGGAATCCAAAGATCATAAGAATTACTCTTCTATTTTATTCTGGGCTTGTTTTCGGTGTTGACTGTGTACTTATCGCAAGGGAAATTTGGGAAACCACAAAGAATAGTGTTAGAGGACAGGTATGGTCACTGATGACAGGCGGCCCGATCCTTCCGTCCTCTTCTTAGGTACTGTATTAAATATTAAATCTCTTAAGATTAGAAGGTCGGCGATTCTGTGATAAAACTATTATCAAATAGTTCTCAAGTTGAACAGTTCTATATTTATTATGTATACATCCCCCACGTTGTAACCTCTCACCTGCAGTGACGATGATCCGTTCTTCGCCAACCAAAAACGCCGAAACATTTCACTGAAGGCGGTTTGCCGTGCTATATTGGGATTTCGCATTTTCCAATTTGTGAAATGTAAGCTATGTCAGGTGAATGCGTTTTCTCATTGCATCGTGCAATTACTTGTGTACGCTAATTCATGGCTGATGGATTATGTGCAAACATTTCATTTCGGTTTTTCTCACTTTTTCCGATCAGCAAGGGACAATTATTAGGAACTGAACGCTTTTACTCATTTAATTCAAACTTTCATGCATTAAAAAAAATACGATTGCACGGTGGTAACTTCTGCTCCTAGCTATTACAGGACGAGCGCTTTAAACACGGAAAATATAAAAGTAATGAAAATATTTACGTACCAGGTTTAATCATTTATATACACAGGACATCTCTATTCATTGAACTGGAAAAGTTATATAGGAAAGCAACAGCGTTCGGTACCGGCAAACTGGATTCGCTCCGCGAAAGCATAACTTCCCGTCTCTTCCCGCGGTCTTCTTCATGTAGGCAAAAACGTTCTAAACGCTCGCCCAAGATGTCGGGAGAAGAGCAAGCGGGGAGAGCCGGTGCAACCGAACGCAACGAGGAGTACGAGAGGATGGAGAAGTGGCTGGATGATCACCCAGAGTTTACCCATGATTATTTTGCCAGGAAGGCTAAAAGAAGCATGGTGGATGGGTGGCTGCTGGCTCAGGCTTTATCTCACAGTCCAGGACTTAACTTCAAACAGCCAGAGACCAACAATTCTAGCGGCTCGAATTCTCGAAATAATTCTGGCACCAACACTCCAGTGCGGAAGATTTCGGCCCAAGAATTTGATCGGGGTGATATTCTAAATCCTATAGTGTCCACAGTGGACGGTGCTCGTACATTTCTCGGACCTTCGACGTCACAAACGTCGGTCACAAATAAACATCACCGACGCCCAAGAACAGAACTGAAAACTCTAGACGAAAAAGAACTTATGTATGAATTAGTAATTGACATTTGTAATGAACTTGATGTCAACAGCCTGTGTCATAAAATATTACAGAACGTGTGTATTCTCCTAAATGCGGACAGGTGTTCATTGTTTCTGGTTCATGGGCGCGGGGGTGAGGAGCGGTTTTTGGAGGCGAAACTTTTTGACGTTAGTGCTGATACAACTCTGGAAGAGGTCTGTGAAAACAGGGAAGCTATAAGAATTCCATGGGGGACAGGGATCATAGGCCATGTGGCGCAGACGGGAGAACTCCTGAACATTCCGGATGCCTACAAGGTAAAGAGAAAGAAATCTCGATCGTCTGCGACTGAAATTCATACTTTCATAGTAATGATTCCAATACAGACACTATGTGGGTTGCATGTATTAGATTTCATCTTCCCTCACAGTCTGCAAATCAAACATGTATCAAGTATACATGTTTTTTTGTTGATTTTTTTGGGGGTGCATTTGCGTGTAAAATGGACAATGAGTAAAATACCGACGATAATGATATTATAGAAGAACATACATTTTATACAATTTAATTAATGAACGGCTCAGAATTACTATCTCGGTGTACATGATATGCACGACGTAGATGTGTGCGGAAGATTACTGCGTGTGAAACCGGATTGAGTAATCACTACCTAACGTGTCCAAAGCTTAAATATGTTTCAGTGACCAGAACCTATATAGATGTCTCTGATTACGGCATAGGGGGTTCGTCTCGATCTATTTGGTTTTTTTTAACTGTTTGATCTCCTTTGTACAATTAAAAATTGTTAAAGTATGAAGGCTTGTCCAAAAGGAAGATGAATAAATCGTAAAGAATATAGTTTTTTTATTTGATTAGGCTACATTGGAGAAATTTTAGATACTTTATTTATCAAAAAACAAAGCAAAAAAAAAAGAAAAAAATTGTCGTCTGCTTTTATTATATCTAAGTTTCACGAAAGATCGGTAATCCTATGGAGAAACGAAAAAAAATAGCATGTGCAATCCCTGATTAAGGTAGCTCCAAATAAAACGTGCATACAACCGAAATATTGCGGAAGTTTAAGGTTTAAAGTCGGCCATGTCAGTAATTTCCTCTTTATACCATTGTGTAAAGTTGCAAAAGAAATCACAGTTGTGCGGGATTGACGTCATAAAGTGAGCGGTTCACTGACGGGGGGAATAAAGCCATTTAACCTTCTCTTGTTATCGAAAAACTTATCACTTCTACACTCTGAAAATCTGATAAGAAAGCTCGGTTACAAAATCCGGGGGTAAAACAATAAATATAAGACTGTAGTAGAACTAATTTTACTGCTTCACGTAGAACCTATAACGTAATCTCTCGTCACTGGTAGTAGCCGTACATACCCGGTAAATTCCTTGATACGTCTCGGCTAGAATCTGATAATGTTAAATTACAGATAATAAGATAACTTTATTTTCAATAAATAAGAAAATTAACCAGTTTCAATGCCTTTTATTTTTAAATTAAATGTTTTTTTAGGATAGATACGCTAAGTAATTAATAGTATGGGAATTTCAGAAAACTTTACAAACGGTACCTCAAGTTAAAAATTCTTAAAAATTGCTAGCATATTTTCAAAATTAAATATGATTGTGTACTACTTTATCTAATACTTGGTAAAAAATATTGTAACATGAAAAGTATGAAAAATTGCTAGCATATCTTCAAGATTAAAGATTGATTTTATACTATCTGAATTAAAACTTGGAAAAATATTGTGACATGAAAAGTATTTTTTTTTTTTTTTTTTTTTTTTTTTTTTTTGCAAAATATTATATGGTTAAGAGGATTCCTATTCGAAATGGAGAATTTACTGAAATTCTTCACCTGTTTAAGGTTCGTTATCTTTGTTTGTCTTGCACAAGTTTCTTGATGTTTTTCTTCAAAAGTTCAGACTGCCTTTGGTAAATTCTCCAGTATTTTATTATTCCACCAGACTCTGACTAAATACAAGCTGTAAGCAGATGGATTTGATAGATAACTAGTAAGTTGAACCCCATCTGTTTTTTGTGATTGCCTTTTTCACATTTCCTGCAGTGTTATTGTTAACCTATAAACAAAATTCCTCACACATTAGGGTGAAGGGAATCTCTTGTTTGAGGATAAATAGATCTTCCCTTTCAGAATAATATTGATGGAAATGATGTATGGTATTTCAATTGTTTTACCACTCTGAAAATGTCTTTGAATTTATAGAGAAAGGATCCAAAAATTCCAAAGAATATTTTGAAGTTCAAGGATTCCTTATTATTTAAAGAATGTTTTAGAATTAAAAAAATCATATTGTTTAACAAATGAGGAAGACTATCAATTAATGAAAAGTAAAGAGATCTTGAAAAGCAACAGTCTTCATTTTTTAATGAAGGATATTAAGTGAGAATTATTAACAAAAATGCTATGCATGCAGCTAGATAACACCATTCAGGTCTCATTTTATCCATATTGGAGATCACTTTTTGGCAAAGTAAAAAAACCCAAGGTTGATAGTGGTATGGGTACCTTGGCCTCATTTTCATGTCATTATAAAGTGTTCATAAAATTTTAAAATGAAAGGTTCTTTTAGTTGAGAAAATATTAAACGTCAGCACTTGTTTGCATAGTAGATCCAGAGAACCCCTGACCCTCAAACAATCCATTTTGAAGTATATGGGATTTTACTCCGGATATTTGTTTATGGAGATTTCTCACACAGTTGCAGTTGTTTAACTTTTTAAAACCACCTTCCAATACACATTTCTTTGAGAGTATGCTCTTGAGGCCCCTGCTCAATTCTCATTGTATAGCAATTAAGCCACTTCTGGATGTGTTTTAAGTCCATACACAGGTAGATAAATACCTGTCATTATCAGGCTCCAGAACAGGGGACATTGTGTATGCTGTGCCATATTGATTTATATTTTTTGTATACTTGATGCTGGACCAAAAGATAGAAGTATACTATTGATATCAAATGGGGTTATTTTGATATACAATGAAAAACTGAGGCTGATATCATGTCTTGGTGTAATTCAATATTTTTGGACTTCATGTGTACAAAACCTGATATAAAACATAAGTAACTTTATCGTACTAATGTCTTAAGAGTCATATATTTCAATTTTGTATTCATTTCTGAAATTTTATTTGAAAGTCTCCCCTTCCCTTCCTGGGTGACAGGGATATACAAATGGACTCTGTTTGGATAACATGAACATGCAGATTACAAATTGATGCAAATCTGGCTTGCTGCAAGTTGTCAACTTTTCCATATGTGAACATTTTTCTTTTATATGAATAATTTTTGTCAGTGTTTATTGCAATTTTAAATGAAAATTTTTGTGCACTTCAAACACAGTTCTGACAAATATTTAATTTTAAGAAATTACGTTTTTACAGTAAAAATCGGACCTTTAGTGTATGCTTCACTTGGAGCAATATTATAAGTAAAATACATGTGTCAGATTTTATAATTATTTTACCGTGCACATTTGCATAAAACTCTGTAGGGCATTAGCATAATGAGTGTTGTCTGTGGATTTAGCATTATTTCATATTTATATTTCATAAATGACCTTAGACGGGGGAAAAACATGTTTGACTTATACAGATAGGATTTATAAGTGTTATCACACATACTTCCTGAGTTTCGGGAAAATTTGTTATTTTTTACCAGTATTTTTATAAGATATGAATGTTATTGATTATATTATTTTACAAAAAGGAAGTTTACACTTGATTCTAGACTAACTAGAAATTTGGTGTGCATAAAGATTTGAAATGAAAGGACCTTTTCAGTTGAGAAAACTTTTGATGTCTCTTTTTTTAGAATTTGTTTCTCATCATAAATGTACATGTAATAACCAAATTAAACATGATTAAATGATTGCAAGAGTAACATTTAATTATATGTTCTAGTTTCTTTTTCATATTTTGCAAGGAAACTTTAATTTACTTTCATCTAAGAACTGTGCAATGCAGTTAGTACATAAATATGTCAGTTTTGAATTGATGTATGTATGATTGAATTTCTGACCACTTTCTAAAATTTAAAATTTTGATAATTTTACCTTAAATGCTCAAAATTTACATTTCCAATACTGCTTGTTGGCCTTCAAAATTTTTCAATGAGTTGCAACATTAAATATTAAAATTTTAAAACTCTAATCATAAGTGTTTCAGTGTCTGAACAATTTTTCAAGAATAGAATTTTGTTTATTCATGTTTTTGTTTTAAATCTTTCTATTTTGCTCATGGCTGTCAAAAAAAAACATAAAGCAAAGTCATTATTCACAAAAACTTTATTTGTGCTTCACAAGTTTGAATCCACCTAGCATTTTTCACAAATCAAGGAAACATTCTGTACAAGTACACAATTAAATAAAGGTTTTGCGGTGATAAATGCTCACAATTAAAAGAAGGTTGCAATTACCCTCAGATGTTTATTGCACTCAGACAAAAGCTAGTTCAAAATAACTGGGATTGAAAAATTGTAAAGGACCAATAAATCGCAGAAAACCGAAAATCATTCATTTTACTATATTAAGAATTGCCTAGAAACAGTAATTTAAGCTGAATAATTTTACTGAATTGTAACAGTAAATTTTCTCAGGCAACAAGACCTTTCTTTTCAGAACTACAACGGAGGATTATTTTCACATTACTTATCATGAAAATTTTAACATATCTATTGTGGGAACATGTTATTAATGTTAAAGCTGGGTGACAACAGCCATAGTCTGTCATAAAGAAGGATTACCAAATAAGCAACACCGAATTTGAAACGAAAATCCTTGGTTGGCAATGAAAAGGTGGCCTCTTTTATTTTGTGATGAGAAAAGAAACGAAGAGGGTAGATTAAGTCTGATTTTATGGTCTTTGTCACATTTTGAATTGTTAGGGTGACTATCACTAACTTTGCCGTGAATATGCAATCTTGTCAAACAAAGTGAAAGATAAAAGCTCCCTTTAATACATATTTTATGAAAAATATTGATAGAAATGATTATTGACATTTGTAGGTTAAGCAATTTTTTGAAGATTTTGTCTTGCCGATATCCATTTGATCTTTTAGGGTTTTCCTTCATGTTTAATATAAAAAAAGTGTTTTGTAACATTTTACTTATAATCTTGCAAAATACCCCACCATAAACCTGTCAGATTAAAAAAGAAAATGAAATTATGTAGAAATATATGTTGACCATGTTTGATTTAAATGTCAGATAACTTCTACTCGTATGAATATTTTTTAAGATGGCTTTATCATCTGTATTGGATCTGCAATACTACAGTACCA